TAATTTGCATTTTCTATGTCATTAGGTTATATAAATGTTGGAATGTAAAAAATGTGTAATACCTTACCAAGTATTAGAACTCTGAATTTCCCTGTCCAGTGTAGAGATGGACGATCTGCTCCAGAACTGATTCAAAGAACCAATTCACTTTACTCAGTGACTGATCTCCAATCCAGCAAAAATAGAGTGATAGTTCTTTAACAGTTCACGTAGTGCTGTTGTTGGGAAGCATGCCAAAAATTTGATTTCTCTTATATAAACACTAACATTCTTTCTTTTATTATTTACCAGAAATGTCTCTGACTTTTTTATGTGTATTTAAAAAAAGTAAACATTAAATAAACCTACTCATCTTAGCAAAACTGATCATTCCTGTTTGTAAATGGATGGAGTGTTTTTCCCATCTGGCAGTGCAAGGATTTATTTAAAGTACATAAATTAAAGGTGATCAGTTTCGTACTCCCACTGACTCCTCTGACTCCCAGCCGTAATCACTCCAATGCTCCTTCTCTAGTTGTAGATCTGAGTCCTTCGGAAGGTTGATTATTCACTCTTTTCATTGCTCCTTCTCTAGCCATGGATATGATTCTTACAGAGTCTTAATTATTTGCTCTTTCCATCGCTGCAGCATTCCTTCTCTAGCAGAGCACCCAGGTTTACTTTTTGTTTTATGCTTTTATGGAACTCTTGCTGTATGTTTCGTTTTGATTGTTCAAATACTGTATCATAGTATAGCAATGTATACAGTACAAAGCCTGAAATCCGGATGTTCGTTATTGGGAATGATCTAAAATCCGTACGTCCATTATCCGGAATGATCTAAAATTCGGACCTCAAAACCATCACCAACATTTTCTCGTAGGCTTTACGTATGCGCATTTGTTTTCCCCTCCGCGCATAATACAACATCTGGAGAGTCCTGATTCTTAATTTCACTTCGACACTAAATAAAATACCTTGTTATTGAAGTAAACAGTCATTTTAACATAAATTTGTGAGATCAGTAATTTGGCTCTGTTGCTGAGTGTCTGCTTGGCATACATCTCAAACCAAAACATTCCACGTAGATACATCGTTTATCTGATGCCAACCTGGCGAATCATTATTTATTATATTTTCCTTTCATCACTGCATGTTTATCAAAACATTACATCTTGAGTAATGACTTGTGTAGCGATGCCTAAACATTTTTATGTTAGTAATTGAATAATAAAGGAGTATAGTAACCTTTTATGTTGGCATTACGCTTGGTGATGATTACAGATTTAAGTTAAATGTGCTAAAAATGTTGACGGGAAAACATTTACCAAAAATTTCTTTCTATATGCTAAAAATAGATTTTATTGATGATACTTATAGACCGAAGGATTACATTTAGGGCTATTTGAATTTAAAAAAACTGATTTGCTATTCACATAAACCAAGAATCAGCACCAAGGCTCGTATGGCCGAATCGGGGCACAGAATTTAGGACCCACAAAGACTGCATCAGGCGATAAGATATCTAGCACCGGTCCTCAATAAGGCTTAAGTATATGGTGGGAATTTGTTTATTGAGAACTCTGATAAGCCTTAAGCATGTGCAAGAAATATACATAAGTATAAATAACTGAACTAATACAATTCAGGCTTAATTGTCTCAATGCGCGACAGAAGCAAGATAAAATTAAACGGAACAACTTGTCATTAGTCGCCAAGCTCATGATGCATAGCCAAATATGTATAGTGTGAAGAATAGCTAAATTTGATGATGATAGCTGCTAATTTTAAAGGTTTTCAGATATTGCAAAACAAATGTGAAATTTTCAAATTAACGGGTTTTGTGGAGAAATGTGGATAAGCGGTAATAAATGAAAAATGATATAAAAGTTTTTTCATTGTGATGACAGTGCTTCTCAATCATCAATCAATTAATGAATGGCAAAATCTGTAGTATGGTTCTAGATCCAGAAAATACCGGTACCGATAGTGAAGAAAGTGACCGAGAAGTTACTGAAAATGAGAAATTTCGATTTACATTTTAGTCGGAATTCTTGAAATAGCAGCTACAGGACTTCAACAATGTAACTAAATAGGAGATTATGTCTGTCTATAGAATTAAAAAGAATGTATTAGCGCAAAAAACGAAGCAACTTATACAACTTACATTGAAAGAAATGTTTAATAAGGTAAACAAATAAATATTAAGCTGTTTTTTGTCAATTTTGATACCCTTTAGATCATAAATACTTCCTTATTTTCATAAATCATGAATTCATATTTTTAATTTTATAATTTCTACATGCCATCTTACTGCAGGGTTCATACGGTCCTTAAGAGTCCTTAAGTTTTTTGGAATCGATTTTTGGTCCTTAAAAGTCCTTAATTTCAGCCAAAATCGGCAGAAGGTCCTTAATTTTAATGATCTGAAATTTCTGTCTGTTTTTTTCCATTGCCATTTTGAGTGTGAATTAGCATTTTGGAGGAATATTTTTCAAAATTCGCTGACAAATATCGTTATCTTTTAAATGGGTAAATGCGTTTATGGATTTTAAATTGTTCCTATTTCTAATGGTGGGATAGAGTTTCTGAGCAAGAAGTGCAACACAAGCATTTCGAAATTATTTCATTTTTTCTAGTGAAGAGCTCTTAAACAACTTTTCGCTTTTGGAGATTTGAATTCTTTTATTAAATTGCTCTAAATTTGGTGACTTAGCAACATTTTGGCAATTTTAAGATAAGTTTCTATAGAAAATCTTTAATTCCGAGATCTGGAAATTTTTCGACGATTTTTTTAGAACATTGTAACATTGATAAATTTCATTAAAATATGGTAATATATTGTAATTACATTAAGAAATCACATTAGAATAAAGCATTTTTATTTTTTGCTGTTGTATTATAAAGTTCTATTTTGGCCACTTACACAATATTTTGAATCTGAAAAATAAGCAAGGTCACTAGACACAAGCATAAAATATGAGAAATGCTTCTTATCTTATCATATGGACAGGCATTATAGAAAAGAATTGTTTTATTAATAAAGAAATTGAAAACTGACAATTTAAACGATTCATCTAATAAGTCTTAATGCATCATACACAGGGATGGCGCTAGGCTTTATCCCACCTGACACAATCTCTGTGGATCCTAAATTCTGCTGCCTGCCTGCCTGGTGCTAAAATGAAAAAAAAAAAAAAAAAAAAAAAAAAAAAAAAAAAAAAAAAAAAAAAAAAAAAAAAAAAAAAACAAAAAACAAAAAAAAAAATAAAAAAAACAAAACAAAAAAAAAACAAAAAAATTCTAAAAATTCTGTCACACCAGCTCTGTAACCAGACCTTACCATATATATTTCATATTTCTTCTGGATGTTCATATTACTAAAGAAATAAAATTAGCAGATTTGTCTATACATTCTAAATGCATTTAGTGTTTTTAGAATAACAGAAATCTTTAATTAAATCCAAAAATTCTAAAATGGAAAGGAAACGTGGAAGAAAGAAACTGAATACATTAAGAGAAAGGGAAATGATTCTTCAAAGATTATGTACAGATATTATTATGTAAATTACCTAGTTGTTTACAATTTCAAATTTTATTATAATTTTCCATTTCTATTTCCTCACCAGAATGCAAATCAGTTTTTAAACTGAGGTTTTTGGAGTGTAAGACAAGAGTGTATTTCTGATCTCCACTTGCTCCCTGCATTAGTTCTTGCCACCTCTGACAATTTGTAATTACTCGTCTTTACATTACCGTTGAACTTGTTATGACGATAAAGTTACTGAGCCTGAAATGTTACAGCTTAAAATGAAATTAAATTGTTATAGTCTTTGATCACTAGTCCATATTTTTAGTTTGAATTTGATTATTCTTGTTTAATTACATCATCACAAGCTGTAATTGATTTATTTAGCATTATAACATGCCCTTATGTTCTAATGTTCTTTTTAAATAAGAAGCTTATTTAAATCTTTGTAGCTACTTTCAGAAGTAGCGATAATTTGCTTGACATCTGCCCAGAGGATTTTGGACTATTTAACTTTTACCAGATCAAGTAAACCCTCATATGTACATTTTGGAGAGGTTGACAGGTTAGGAGCTAAAACACGTAGAAACTAGTGAGAACATTGTCTTGCGTATTGAGACAAAGTTCTAACTGTTAGAAAAGATGCTTAAAGAGAAGGAAATCAATACAATTTTTTTTTTCCAGTGTTCATATACGTGAAAATAAATAAGGAATTGTTATAGGAAATATTTCTAACAAGGGCATAATGGTTCAAAGTAATTTTAAAAAAACATTCTTCTGCATTATTTATTTAATCTTCAGAATTCATATTATCGTCATAATGTTAGCTATCATTGAAATTATTCAGTTTCCAAAATGTCTTTATGTGTGAAGCCATTAGACTTGTGACATCGTTTCTAAATAATTTGCCTTTCAGCAAATGAATTTTTTATCAGAATTAAAAATAGAAACACTCATAAAATTGCTACTGTATGTGAAATTTCATCCAAAAATCCTGAGAAGCTTAAAAGAATAAGTAAGAATTCACAATCCTAGCAAAAGGGATGTATCTCATTTGAGAATACAGACTATTATGTCCATAGGAAATACTGCTTCTTCATGATAATGAATGGAAGTTGAACATGGACGAAAAATATGACACAGAGTAGCAGAATATGCTTAATCCATAATTTTGCATATTCTGTGTATACTTAGTCTGTTAATTATGATTCTTAATTAAATGGATCTGAAGATCATAATAGATTGTTGGAAAATTGGATGTGTTATTATTTAATAGAATTTTTAGTGGTAATTTCAGCATTGCACATATAATGTAGCATTTTTAGCCATACGGTTGAATCAAATGCAGAATTCTGAGTTAACTAATTATTTTGCTATTTGTAAGAATTTAAACTTAAAACCTATATACTAATGTTTTTTTAATGTTCTTTTAAAAAAATTATTTATTTATTTATTTGAGAAATATATAAAATTTTTGGGGAACATTTTATAGTAATGAAATCATTGGACGAAGAAAATTTGATATTAAGATTTGTGCATGTCCTGCACGCGATAGAAGAACTGAAGAAAACCAGTTGATGCAAGTACAAAGACCTCTTGTTCCAGCAAAACAGGATACATTAGGTTTGTATGCTGTTTGTCTCCTGTTCACCTTCAAGTAAAAGAGAAAACTGATCCAATGTTAGCTGTTATTCTTTAAGTTATTTGATGCACTGTATTAGATCTTTCACTGAAAATTCTCAATGAGATTTTTCTAATAATGTCTCATCATTTTAATTTTTTTTAATTTTTTTTTTTTTTATTATTATAAATGAAGGGAAAAGGGGAAAAAAAAAGTCATATAAAATGTAATGGAAGTTGAAATGCCATTTGCATATCAATTCTGCTTTTGTTAAATGTGTAAATTAGCTGTGTCATAAATGTCAGGTATTTCAGTGCATTCTTAAAATCATAACTAGATTACAAAGTAATTTGAGATAGATATAAAGATACTGAATGTGCCAAAAAAAATTATTTAACAAGTTATTTCTTTATCCATGAGAAGTTTATAGGCACTTTTAAAGTAGCCAACAGTAGCTGAAATATTTTGTGATCTAAAATACTGGAATTCTGAAAGCATGTTTTGGATGTGCAGTTTTGGGAAGCAGATAAACACTGTCTACGAAGTACTACATGTAAAGTGGCTAACTGTTTTTAGCAACAAAGTGTAAGTTTATTTTACGACATGGCAGTTTTAAAAAGAGTATTGTTTGCATACATCTCCCCAGAGAATAAATACTGGTGTCTAGCCATGCTAGATAAATACTGGCAAGTAACAAGGTGTGGTTTAACAACAACCAACATTTTCTCACATCAGGTTAACTTAATTCAAAAAAATTAACATAAATTTTAACATTAAAGTTGCTGTTTCCAAAGCTAAAACAAAGTATGAATTATCTTCATTAATATGGTTCTTTACAAATAATAATATTATAATTTCATTCTCTTAGAAATTTTTGTTGCACAATCACATGTGGATGGTTTTCGGAAAGTCTCGTAAAGTTTTATTACATTTTTCTGTTTTTCACCACTTATCATCACCCTCTCAGTGTTACGGCTGGAAAATTCTGTATAAAAGGCTGGCTTCTTTATTCATTACACATGAAAATTTCTGCTAGCTTTTAATGTATTCAATTTCGGTTTGGATGTATATTGAAAGAAAAGGAATCAAGGTACAAAGTGAGAGAGTAGTCTTTAATTTAAATCAAGAAATACCACTTATTCATGACATTTTGAGAAACTTTGAAATTTCAGGGCTAAACCCATTATGCTCGGAGGGTGAAACTGAGCTGAATCTTCCAATGGTTCAGCAATGTCTTGATATCTAATGATTTCTAAAGGATAAATTCTTTGAATTGGTCATATGTCCCCATGACTTTTTCATATTTGATATATTTCATATAACTTGATTATTATGCCCTAGAATGAGCTTTAGCTACTGGCCAAGCTAATTTTTTTTTTTTTTTTTTGTTATTGCTTCCACTTGTTGCGCGCTTCCAACCTGCATGCAACAATAGTGGTGACTGCTAAGAACTGGAAAGTAGACAAAGTCTTGAGAAGGGTTTAAATCCCTTTTTATTCAACTTTAGAAATTACAAATGCGTGCTCTTGACGCTCACAAACTACGCCGACCCGGCGGTAAAATAAAAATAAGAAACTAAAAAAAAAGAATAATAACAAGTGACTAACTACGAGGCTCTCTAAACGTAACTAACCTCACCGCGTTCTAAGATACCGCTGATAATTCAGCAAACTTCTGAATATTACGTTGAAAGATTAACAATCTGCCGAGGCAAGCACACAGGCCGAAACGCGTGGTTCTTCAATTTCTAACTAGCCACCTCCACGCTCGTGAAGCAAGAAAGCACACTTTCGAACTCGTTTCCCTTCTATTTAACTCAGATTACTTCCGCTGACAATTTGAATCCTTGCGCGTTCTACTAAAATTTACATACTCTGGCATTGGCAATTCCAGGGGAAAGTAAGGCTTGACAGGAAAGATAGTTTAAACTTAAAATAAATGTTAGTTAAAATAAATATAAACCCTACATTTGCCGCCGCTGCCAGAATTTGGTAAAACTTGGAAGCAGGTCCTAGAAACGACCTGTTGAAAAGTTTCCACAATTCTGAACTAAATTTTAAGAGCCTCGTTTACATAAAAAAAAATCTGTTATCTCACAAAAGGTAGAATAAATTTCTGTAGATACTTATTTAATTCTCTCTTCTTACAGCAACCTTTCCTGGACTTCAGCAATCAATCTGTTCTCTTCCTTCCAGCATCTGGAAGGAATAAGTATCAGTATCTTTCTAAATACATTATAATTTACACTTTCTTGACACTGAATAAGTTTTTGTTTTTGAACGATTTATTTTCCTTAGTTACTGCTTAATTCACATTCATTCAAGTATTCAAACATGAATTTAACTTTACCCTGGCTCTCCACCATGTGTGGTGTCAAACGGGAATATTCGTGTTTTAGTATTGCAACACTTCCCCTAACCACAATGATTTGTTAGAATTCAACGACCAAATAGACACACCTTACTCGACATTCTACAACTCGATGAGCTACTTTAACATTCTTAAAATTCAAGTGTAGGTGGAGAACCCTACAAAACACATTCATTCTAAATTCCCCCTCATTCATCTTTAGACATGCAGGCTTTCGCTCTAAAGCATGATTTTATCTACAGTTTAATACTTAAATTTGAATTCATTGCTTTTGAGCATTTACTTTTAGCATCTAAAATTTTATGCTTCTAGACTAAATTCTACTTTTACATAACTTTCAAGTATTTACGTATATTTACAAAATTCTAATACATATGATTTTTACAATTTACCATAAAATGAATAAGAGAAAAATAAATTTTTACTTTACTCATTCTTCGCCAAGCTGGCGGCACTGAAACTAAAGTTCTTATTAATACAAGAATACGAAGTTATTTTTATCTTCGGCCAAATTTTGGCTTTAACATAACAGAATTAGTCTTTCGACCAACAGAAAACTGCTTGTTCTTAGATTTTATACTTAAAGAAAATAATACTTTTGCCTTAGCTAAATAAAGTAAAACAAAACTAAGTCTCAACCGAGACACATTGACTTTCGTCAAAACATAGAACTTCGTATTTACGCATAACATTTCGGAACAAAAGAAAAAAAATTTATAGAAGATTTTAACTTATCTTTGAGTTTTCGATGATTGGAACTCCGACATCCTCTTCTGGCAGAACTGCTCCCACGTTATAGGTTTCATCGACGTCAGTCGTCTCCTTAGGGTCCTTCGAGTGTCGTCCACGTTGCTTTTTCTTTTTCGCCCTCTGCATGCTGGCCTCTTGGAGTGGTAGTCGTCGGGTTGCTGTCTTTTCCGTTTTGCCCCTGGACGGCTGGTCTTGGCGTCCTCCGGTCTGGAATCATGCTTGAATTTCTTCTGTTGGTGGTGGTCTTTTCGTTCCTCCTGCTGTCTTTTCGTTCTCGGGAACGGCGGCCTTGTTTGCACCTGACTCTCTGGCCCTGGAAGCGTTCTCCTCGATGTAGAATTTCTACTGCGATACGTTGTAAGTGGTGTTTTCCTCTTTACCAAAGTTTCTTTACGCGGCGGCTTTGCTTTCTTGTATTTCTTAAATGCTGGAGTCTGACTGTTTTCATTTCTTCTTTTCGGTACCGTCGCATGACTTGTAGAAGGGCTAGGTTTCTCTTCAGTTCTCTGCTTCTTGGGTGGTGGAACGGGTGACGTTACTTCTGGACCTTCTACTTCTTTTACGCTTGAGTCCTGCAAGAAACTTTTAAGGATTTCAAAATCATTTTGATTATAATATTTTTTCACCTGGTCGGGACTTGCTTTACAGATTTCCCCTCTCTCGTTCTTAAGGTACAATACGACTCCCTTGATTTCCTGAATTACATAGGGCCTTCAAATTTTGGAGCTAACTTTGCAGTAAAATTGTCTGGGGCACTTGATAAAGAAAATTTCCGCTTCAACACTTTATCCCCAACTTTAAAATCTGCTTCACGGCGTTTTCTATCATAGTATAACTTTTGCCTATTTCTTGCCGTATCCGAGCTTTTAACCGCCTGGTCAATAAGTGTTTGCACGTCTTTCTGTTTAAATTCTTGCTCTCTTTGTTGCACAAAGAATAATTTATCTAATGGCGTAATTAACTTTCCGTCCTAAAAATAATTCTGCTGGGGTTTTTCCCGTAGTATCGTGATTTGCCGTTCTTAAAGCATAAGCTAACTCATTTATGTAGCCATCCCAGCGCTTGTGTGATGTGTGCTAACATAACTTCGAATTATTTTTACAATGTTTTTATTAACTCTTTCTGCTATGTTTGCCTGTGGTCTATACGGAACCATTTTGATATGGCGTATGCCAAGTCCAGTGCATATGTTTTCAAATATTTGGCTAACGAATTGTTTACCGTTATCGCTAATGACTTTTATCGGTGCACCGTATTTAAAATGTATCTGTGTAAGAATGCATCTGCGACTGTTTTGGCTGACGCGCGTTTAAGTGGAACAATTTCTGCCATTTTGAAAAATGCCTAAATTTCTAAAGCGCGAATGCTATTTAAGAAATGTACCCGGCCGGGCTGTAATTAATATCATTTATTAACTGACATTGATTGCAGGACCTGACATACGCAGTTACTATTTTGTATAATTGCGGGAAATATACCGCCTCGCGTACCCTTTTTAAAGTCTTTCTGACCCCTAAATGACCCGCTGTTTTCGCGTCGTGTAATTCCTTCAAAATGCTTAATCGAAGCGAGGCTGGGATGACTGGTTTGTACTCGAGATTTTCGTTTGTTGTTTTCGTATAAAATAATAAATTATCTATTATTTCATAGTTTTCTGCTCTATTTCTTATCGCATCGATATCTGTGTGCTCAAAGCTTTCGGGGTCTTTCAAATATGCATAGATACTTCCAAATTCAGGATCAGCTTTCAATTCAGCAATAATTGTATCTCTAGAATCTAAAATTTTTGAAGTCAACACAGCGCATTTAAGTTCATTGCCTTCATCGTCCAGTTTTATACGAGAAAGTGCGTCAGCTACATTGTTTTCCTTACCCGGTTTAT